TCAAACCCACCAGCCACTCCTCAGAAGGAAGATGGGGCAATCTACTTCCATAGTGATACTGCCTCAGAAACCCAGTGAGGGGTCACTATGGGTCAGGTCTGATTTGACTGCACATAACAACAACAACAACATATACATATATATATATATACATATATACATGTATGTGTGTGTGTATATATATATGTATATGTATATGTATGTGTGTGTGTATATATATATAGATAGATAGATAGATGTATATGTATGTATATGTATGTGTGTGTGTGTGTGTGTGTGTATATATATATATATATATATATATGTTTGGAGCCACTATGTCAATTCATTTTGTTGAGGGGCTTCTTCTTTTACATTTACCCAAGCATGATGTCCTCTAAGGATTGATCCCTCCTGATAAAATATCTAAAATATATAAGACAAAGTCTCTCCATCCTACCTCATAAGGAGCATTCTGGCCAAACTTTTTCCAAGGCACATATATTCATTCTTCTGGCAGTCCATGGTATACCCCCTATTCTTAACCAATACCAAAGTTCAAATGCTGAATTCTTCTTCAGTCTTCCCTATTCATTGTCAAGCATACTCATGCAAATAAATTGTAAATACCATGACTGAGGGCAGGTACACCTTAACCCTCAAAGTGATATCTTTTATTTTTAACATTTACAAGGGTTCTTTTCCAAGAGATTTTCCCAATGCCATTCTTTATCTGATTTCTTGACTGCTGTTTACATGGGTGTTGATTATGGATCTAAGCAAAATAAAATCTTTGACAACTTCAATATTTCTGCATTATGCATCATGATACTGCTTATTGGTCCACTTGTGAAGATTTATTTTTCTTTATGTTGAGGTGTAATCCATACTGATTTTGATTTTCATCAGTAAGTGCTTCAAGTCCTCTTCACTCTCAACAAGCAAGATATTGTCATCTGAATATCATAGGTTGTTAATGAGTCCTCCTCTAAAACTGATGTCATGTTCTTCTTCATATCGTCTAGCTTCTAAAATTATTTGCTCAATTAATAATTATTTGAATTATTCAATAGAGATTGAATAATTATGGTGAAAGGATACAACCCAGATGTATACTTTTCCTGATTTTAAACCACATTATTCTTTTGAAGAACAGCCTGTTGGTCTCTGCTCAGGTTCCTCATGAGCACAACTGAGTGTTTTGGAATTCCCATTCATCATAATGTTATCCATAATTTGTTATGATCCACATAGCAAATTCCTTTGCATAGTCAATAAACCATAGGTAAACAATCTTTCTGGTATTCTCTGCTTTCAGCCAAGATCCAGCTGATGTGAGCAATGAAGTCTGTTGTTTCATGTCCTCCTCTGAATCCAGTTTGAATTTCTGGCATTTTCCTTTCAACGTAGTATTTCATCCATTTTTGAATTATTTGCAGTAAAATTTTACTTGCATGTGATATTAATGATATTGTTTTATTAGTTCCACATGCCATAGGATCACCTTTTTTTTTTTTTTTTTGGAATGAGCACAATATGAATCTCTTCCAGTGGGTTGACTAAGTAACGATCTTCCACATTTCTTGTTGTAGATGAGTGAATGCGTCTCTCACTGTATTTGTTGAAGTATTTCATTTGGTATTCTGTCAATTCCTGGAGCCATGTTTTCACATTCAGTGTAGCTTGAACTTCTTCCTTCAATACCATTTGTTCTTGATCATAGAGTGTTTTTTTTTTTTTTAATGTGTTTGTATAATGAACTATAACTAAAAGAATCAAGCAGTTTTAATACCTAACTCTTAGGACTCAAAAATCTGATAGTAGCCTTGAGGTCATTTTACCCTGAAATTTTAGGAAACTTCCCCCAATGGATGAATTCTAGTTCGCCATTATTAATTGAAGAGTGTTCATTTGCTTAATAAATATTATTGGTTATGGTAATGATAATAAATAATATTTTTGTTATTTTAGGTATTATCAAATCTATTTCAACTCACAAAAACTCCATGGGTAAGTAATGAATAAGAGAGACACTATACAATATCCATGTTATATAAGTGTCCATTACATGTCATGAAGACTTTTCTGAAAAACAGCTTATCAAGTAAACCAAAAGTCTTAGAGAATCATTTCGTTAACAAAAAAACGAACATTTTATTTATGGGACAAACTCATTTTTCTTACTTAAGATTGTTTTTCAAGAGGAAAAACAGTGCAGAAGACCTACCCGGCAGCCACATGAATCCTGGAGTTCTGGGTGAGAAAAGGGATCAGTATGCCAGCATGAAGAATTCTTCCTAACAAAACAAAGGAGAACACTGGAATGATCTTGCACATTATAAAGCTATTGTAGTTCCATAAAAAAGAATTCAATCACACTAGGATACAATTCATAAGATAATCATCTCTGACTGCCATAAAGGCAACACTAACATTTGTTTTCACAGCTTGAGCTATTAATCTGACAATGTTTTATGACAATGATGATATTTCCATTATATTAAATGATGTTCATTTGGTATCACGTATAGTCTGAGGCTCCCTGGGACTTTTACTAGTAGGCCATGGGGTTTATTATGAATCCTGAAGTTCCAAGTCTCAAAGCTTTCAGCCCCAAGAAGCAATTAATAAACACAGTGAGCTGCTAATTCCTATTCATGACATGACATTATAATTTAATCTCCATTTTCAAAAAGTACAATAAATTTTTGTCTTAAATGAAGGTTGAGCAACAAACTGTTTGAAAACAATTCCTAGTAACATTTCCAAATCCATTTTTATTCCAAAGTTCTGTATATGTGCATGTGTGTGTGTGTGTACACACACATATACATATATTTTTTTTCTGCTTGGGGCCATACTTTGAACTTCTTTTCCAAATCAAAAGTTGTTTTGGTAATGATAATTATAACCAATTACTGAAAAATTGGGGAGGGGAGAAAATAGACATTTCCTGAATTATAAGCATTAAGTTAGATGTTTTTACCCAAATCCTTGAATAGCCCCATTTTGTAGAAGGATAAATGGAGGTCCTGAGAAGGGATAAATGGAGGTCCTGAGAAGGGAAATAGTTTGCCTAGGATCCCACTGTGGGAAGATGAGTCAGCTGATGTATAAGCCTTTTATCTTCACTATGACATGTTGTTGTTTGGTGCTATCAAGTTGATCAAAACTCATAGTGACTTTGTGTGACAAAGCAGGACTTCCCAGGATTTTCTTGACTGTAATCTTTATAGAAGCAGATAGCCAGGTCTTTTTCCCACAGAGCTGCTGGGTGGATTAGAACTTCCAATCTTTTGGTTAGCAGCTGAGCAAGATAGTCAAATACAGCACTGAGATGAAAAAAGTACAGTTCAAAGAAAATAAATTTGCCATTCCTATTAACCAGTCTAGCAGATTACAATTCCCAAGTAAATTTTTGGAATATAAAAAAATAATTCAAAGGCTTCCCCAGCACTATTCTCTTGGTTAATTAGCTTATGGAAACTCCAATTTTGGACTTAGAAGTTAACATGGAAATAAAACCTAAGGGAGTTACATATTTTAAGCAGATGACTGTACCTGGTAATTACTTTTAAATTAATGACTCTGTTTATACTTCTTAAATTAAGCAGGCTCTTTCTTCTTCAGATACATGCCACAGATGATTTTAGCAAGGGTTTATAACTTAACAGATAACCTTAAAATTATATTTCCTCTTCTAAATTCTTGATTATTCTCATCCTAGCTCCCTTTTATAAGTAAAATGTTTGAGCATCAGAATTGCATAGTTATCAGTGATAGTATTTAAAAGATCTTTGCACTTTTGAAGATCTCCTCACCTTCAGCAATATTTTTGTGTTCCTACAAAGTATTTACTCTGCATGAGTATTCATAAAAGAGGTAGAAAGAAAAGATGACATGTTAGTAATTTAGTTTCTACTTAAAATGACCCTTCAGATTTTAGGAACTTAAACACACATCAATTTGATTTAGTCTATCATTCCCCTAAACATATTCTGTGGGACACTACGGTTCCAGTATAAATATGTTTTAAAAGTGGTCACTTGATTCTTTGGGCTTGGAAAGACTGGATGAAAGAGGTTTCTTTAATATGAGTTTGTGTGGGGTTTTTAATAACCTAACATACATTTTAGACCTGAGGAAGAGACAGGTACTATAAAGAACTATTGTCTTGGAAGCAGTGTTCCAAAACACACACACACACACACACACACACAAAACCTCACTGATGTCAAGTTGGATCCGACTCAAGGCAATATCACTATGGAAGTAGATCGCCCAGACCTTCCTAAAAAGAACAAAACCTCTCCACTGGGAGTACATTGGTGTAAACAGGGGCAGAGAAAGTTTAAGTCACACAGCCAGTAAAAAGATAGAGCTGAGATTTAGAGTCATACCATGTGGTTCTAGAATCTTTCTTCTGAAACCTCTTTAACATGACACCAGATATAGGGACTCTCTATACTTTTGATCCATGGCCTCAACGCTCATCTTCATGGAGCCATACTATCCTCCCATGTCACAAGAACCTACAAGGACTGTGAGATTCCCAGTGTTTCCCAAGCAATAGAAACGTGTGACAATTGAGAATATTCATAACATTTGTGTGATCTAATTATAATGATTCTCTTAAAATTATGAAAAGAAAACTTACATATTTCTCCACTGGCCTTTTTAATTTACATAGAAACATATGGTTTGCAAACTAGTACTTTTGCTCTGTATTAAAATGTAAACAAGAATGCACAGGAGGACAACCAACTTGACCTCATAGACAAATACAGAACACTCCATCAAATAAAAACACATTATACACTCATATCCAATGTACATGGATCATTCCACACAATAGACCATATGTTAGGACACAAAACAAGCCTCAGTAAATTAGGAAGAAAAAAAAAAAAAACCTGAAATACAACAAACCATCATCTCAGATCACAGCACTATAAAATTAGGAACCAATAAGAAGAAGACTGGGGGAAAAATTGAATAAGACACACCTCAAGAACTACTGAGTAACAGAATAAATAAAGTGTGAAATTAAAAAAAACAAAACAAAACAAACAAACAGAAAAAAACTTAGAAACTATGAGAATGAAAACACAACATACCAAAACTTTGAGACATAGTGAAAGCAGAACTCAAAGGTCAATTTACAGCAATAAATTCACACATAAAAGAAAAAGAAAGAATCAAAATAAAAAACTTAATGCAACAACTACAAAAATTGGAAAAAGAGCAACAAAAGAAACCTACAGTCTCCAGAAAAAAAGGAAATAATAAAGATCACAGCAGAAATAAATGAAGCAGAATACAGAAAAACAATAGAAAAAAACAAGACTGGAAGGTTGTTCTTTAAAATGATTAACAAAATTGACAAAACACAGGCAAATTTAATTAAGGAAAAGAAAGAGAGTATACAAATAACATGAATAAGAAATGAAATGGGTGATATCACAACAGACCCAACTGAAATAAAAAGGAAAATAACAGAATGCTATGAAGAACGATATCCAAACAAACTTGAAAAGCCAGAAGAAATGTACAAATTTCTAAAAACACAACCTACATAAACTAACACAGACTGAACTTGAACAGATCCATAACAAAGGAGAAATTGGCCAGGTTATTAAAAAAAAGAAAAAGAAAGAAAGAAAAGAAAAGAAAAAACTCTCTACCAAATAAACTCTAGGCCCATATGGCTTCACTGGAGAAATCTATCAAATGTCCAGAGAGGACCAGATGTCTATCTAATTCACACTCTTCCAGAATATAGAAAAGGATGGCATACTACACAATTCATTATATGAAACAAGCATAATCCTGGTACAGAAACCAGGTAAAGACACAACTAAAAAGGAAAGCTACAGATGATTATCCCTCATTATAGACATAACAGTCTTCAACAAAATCCTAGCCAACAGAATTCAACACTATACAAATCTAAATAAATAAATAAATAATACCACATGACAAAGTGGAAATCATGCCAGGTATGCAAGAATGGTTCAAAATCAGAGAAACAATCACTTTAATCCATCACATAAATAAAGCAAAGGAGAAGAACCACATGATCATGTTAATTGATGCAGAAAAACTATTTGATAAAATCCACCATTCATTCCTGATAAAAAGTCACTTATCTCACTTATATGCAACATTGTATTTAAGTCCTAGCCAGGTTAATAAAGCAAAAGAGGGAAATAAAAGACATCAAGATTCTCAAAGAAGTAAAACTGTATCTACTTATAGATGACATGATCCTATATATAGAAAACCCAAGAAACTCAGCAAGAAAACTACAGCAATTAATTGAAAGATTCAGCAAAGTGGCAGAATACAAAATCAGTGTACAAAAATTAGTTGGGTTCCTCTACAGCAACAAAGAATAAGTAAATAAGGAAAACAATATCATTTACAACAGCTACCAAAAATATAAAATATTTAGGAATAATTCTTAACTGAGACACAAATGCCAGCAGGATTACCCTTGGTGGACAGGTTTCAGCATATTTCCAGACTAAGACAGACTTGCAAGAAGGAAGAAGTCCTCAAATTCTCAAAGAATTGGCCAGTGAAAACCTCATGAAGAGCAGTGAAATGCTGTCTGATATATTACTGAAAAACTTTATGAATAGCCCTGTAACATTGTCCAATATAGTGCCAGAATATGAGCCCCTCAGGTCAGGGGGGCACTCAGGAAACAATTGGAGAAGAGATACCTCCTCAGAGTAGAGCCGACCTTAATGGATAGGTCGTATAGTGGATAGATTATAACTTTCAGGACTGCCATTGGCTGATGTGGCATGACTCAAAATGAGAAGAAATTGCTGCAAACATACTTTAATAATTGGAACATAGAAATGTACAAAGTATGAAGCAAGCATAATCCTGGTACTAAAAACAGGTAAAGACACCACTAAAAAGGAAAACAACAGATGAATATCCCTCTTTGAAGTTGTCAAAAACAAAATGGAATGCATAAAGATCTATATGCTAAGCATCAGTGAGCTGAAATGGACTGCTTTTAGATCAGAAATCCATACAATCTATTGTGCCAGGTATGACAAATTGAAGAGGAATGGCGTGGGATTCATCCTCACAAAGAATGTTTCAAGATCTATCCTAAAGTGCAACATTGTCAGTGATAGGATGATATCCATATGACTAAAAGGAAAATCAGTTAAAAATACTATTATTCAAATTTACACACCAACCACCAAAGCCAAAGATGAAGAACTTGAAGATTCTTACCAACTTCTGAAGTCTGAAATTGATCAAACATGCAATC